AGCAGCAGCAGCAGGCAGAGAAACAAAGGCAACAGGGACTATAACCCCATATCTTTTATATTATTTCTCGCAGCATACGGTGGCTTAGGGATTCTGAGACGCAGCAGCCGTTGTCTTCAACCCTAAACCCTAAACCCTAAACCCTAAACCCTTGACAGACTCACCATGCATTCCGCAGCAGAAACGCAAGATGCTGCAGCAGCAGCAGCAGCTGCTGCAGAGCATCAGCAGCGGGAGAGGGTGGAGGCGGAGTTGGCTGATGAAGATCTCGACAGAATGATGGCTGAGAGGGTGGGGGTAGTACGAGGGTTTAGGGTTTAGGGTTTAGGGATTAGGGTTTGGTGTTGCTTTCTGCTGCTGCAGCTAGTTTTATTGCATGCACTTCGTGCTGGCTTGTGCGCNTTAGGGTTTGGTGTTGCTTTCTGCTGCTGCAGCTAGTTTTATTGCATGCACTTCGTGCTGGCTTGTGCGCAGTTTATATACAGCAGCCGAGGGTTTAGGGTTTGAGATTATTCTTGAGGGTTTAGGTATCAGGTTTAGGGTTTGTATCAAGGGTTTAGAGCTCGTGTCTACTAGGGTTTAGGGTTTGCGTCTAGGGTTTAGGGTTTGCGCCGATTGTCTAGGGTTTGTATGAAGGGTCTAGGGTTTGGTTGATATATCTATGTTTCCTTTCCTAGGGTCTATTGTTTGTATCTAGGGTTTAGGGTTTAGGGTTTAGGGTTTAGGGTTTAGGTTTAGTGTTTTGAGGGTTTAGGGTCTGTACGGTGTCGAGTGTTTAGGGTATTAAGGGTTTAGTGTTTTTAGTGGTGTTTAGGGTTTCATATTATTTATTGTTTCCTATTGCTTAGTCTGTCCCATGGTGTATTGTATGCAAGGGTTTAGGGTTTACAAGGGTTTAGGGTTTACAAGGGTTTATTGTTTTCCTCGTGTATATTATTTCCTCTTGTGTATAGTTTCCTATAGTTTCCTCTTGTGTATAGTTTCCTCTTGTTTATAGTTTCCTCTTGTTTATAGTTTCCTAGGGTTTCCTCGGGTTTAGGGTTTACGAGGGTTTAGGGTTTACGAGGGTTTATATATTTTATATTTTCAGGTGGCATTTGAGCCCGAAGTGGAGAATTTTTTGCGTGAATTATACGACAAGTTATATGTGCGTTGTTTGGATTCGATTCGTCGTTTATATGAAATAGATTATCCCGCAATCAGTGAAAAATATTTTGCGTCTTCTCCGTGGCCTTCTGTTGAACTTGTTGGTGATTTCTATCGAGAATATCAACGCTATCATTCTCTTATCATGACCCTTTATACTGAACTCTATTATAGACATCTATTCCTCAGGTATATACAACGGGGGTTTAGGGGGGGGGGTCAGGGTTTAGTGCGGGTTAGGAGGGTTTGGTGGGGTTTACGAGGGTTTATTGGGGTTTATTAGGGGTTATTAGGGGTTATTAGGGTTTATTGGGGTTTATTGGGGTTTATTAGGGTTTATTAGGGTTTATNTAGGGGTTATTAGGGGTTATTAGGGTTTATTGGGGTTTATTGGGGTTTATTAGGGTTTATTAGGGTTTATGAGGGTTTATTAGGGTTTATTAGGGTTTATGAGGGTTTATTGGGGTTTATTAGGGTTTATGAGGGTTTATTAGGGTTTACTTGGGTTTGCGAGGGTTTACGAGGGTTTACGAGGGTTTATGAGGGTTTAGGGTTTAGGGTTTGTGGTGTATGTACACCTGACAGGTGTCCCGAGATGGCTACCTGGGAGCACCGCAGAGACTCGTGGAGCAACTACGCTCTTCTCGTTGAGTTTCTAGCTGACACCACCTGCGCGTAAACCCTAAACCCTAAACCCTAAACCCTAAACCCTTATTTTTTTTTTTTTTTGATAGAGTGGTCGAAGGTTTTGTTGCTGCTGCTTTTAGCTCCTTCAGTTTACATATTTAGGGTTTAGGGTTTAGGGTTTAGGGTTTAGGGTTTGTGTTGTGTGTGTTGTGTGTGTGTGTGTTGCACCTCTCCCCTCTCCTCTCCTCTCCTCTCCCCTCCTCTCTCCTCTCCTCTCCTCTCCCACTGCTGCTGCTGCTGCTGCTGGTGCATGCACGCATGCATGCATGCATGCATGCATGCATGCATGCAGCAAGGACCGAGAGATGATAACACTCCCGCTGCAGTGGCAATGGGATATGTTAGATGAATTTGTTTATCAGTTTCAGGAGAGTTCGCGTTGGCTACAAAGAAAATGCAAAAGTCTAGCAGACTCACCAGATAGAAAAACACTCATCACCGAGCTTGAAGGTTTGCTGCTGTTGCTGCTGCTGCTGCTCCTGCTGCTGCTGCTGCTGCTGATGCTGCGGGTGGTGGTGGTGCTGGTGGTGGTGATGGTGGTGGTGGTGGTGCTGCTGCTGCTGCTGCTGCTGATGGTGGTGATGGTGGTGGTGGTGGTGATGGTGGTGGTGCTGGTGGTGGTGGTGCTGGTGCTGCTGCTGCTGCTGCTGCTGCTGGTGCTGCTGTTGCTG